TGGACCTTCGGGAGAACGAGATCAAGACGGGCGGGCTCATGGCACTGTCCTTGGCCCTCAAGGTGAACCACTCCCTGCTGCGCCTCGACCTCGACCGTGAGCCCAAGAAGGAGGCGGTGAGCTGAGTGGGCTCTTCCCTGAGGCCTCCGGCAGGGGGGCGGGTGGGGGGCGGGTGTGCAGGCTGGCCCAGGGCGACTGCAGGGTCCGTCGTGGGCACCGGCTGTGCAGAGCCCTAGCCAGGCCCGCTCCGCCTGCAGGTGAAGAGCTTCATCGAGACGCAGAAGGCACTGCTCGCAGAGATCCAGAACGGCTGCAAGCAGAACTTCATGCTGGCGCGCGAGCAGGACGAGAAGGAGCAGCGGCTGCAGCTGTCCGCCTCCATGCCCGAGATCTCCGTGACTGAGCCGCAGCCCGGCCAGGAGCCCGGGGGCCAGGAGCCTGGGGACGAGCCCGCCACCAGGGCCCAGCAGAATGGGGCCCCTGGCCCCGGCCCCCGGCCGCACTCAGACTCAGACTCGGACTCCGAGGAGGAGGGTGCGGAGGAGGAGGAGGGGGAGAGGGCCGAGGCCCCCTGCCCCGCCCTGGTGCCCCCCTCGGACTCCCTGGGCCCTGGGGACAGGAGCCCCCCAGGCAGCCCCGCCTCCCCCACTGAGCAGCGTATTTCTGTGTCCAGCCCAGGCCGGGGCCACAAAGTGTTTGTGGTGACTCGGGTTGAGAGTCCGCCCGAGAGAGCAGAGCTCCCGGCACCCCCCGCCCCTCCTTCCCCCCCTTCCTCCCTTCCCCCCGCTGTATCCTCCCTGCCCACCTCACCTGGCCTGCCACCAGCTGAGGCCATCAGCACTCCGGACCCAGGGGTGTCGGAGCCTCAGTCACAGCTGGAGCCACCTCAGTCAGGGCCACCGCTGCCCAACGGCCTGAAGCCCGAGTTTGCCCTCGCACTGCCTCCAGAGCCACCCCCGGGGCCTGAGGCCAAGGCGGGCAGCTGTGGCCTGGAACACGGTGAGTGGGGCTCCGGGGCAGGGTGACAGCAGGCCCTGGGTGCTGATGTGACCCCGGGTAAGCACCTGCCCCTCGATGGGCTTCAGTGTTCCCTTTAAAATGGCCTGTGAAGGGGGTAGGAACGAGAACTTGGTCCTCGGCCCCCACCTTGTTTCCCTTGGATCCCTGGGAGCTCTCCCTGGTATGGAGCAGGCGAGGTGTGCTGACTGGAGTCTGATGGTCTCAGTGGTACCCGGGCCCTGTGCTGCCCTGAGGGCCAGACTTGGGCAGGACTGGTGGGGATGGCCTGGGGTCCCCCCATCCCCACCTGCCTGACTGGAGGTTGCTTGCCCCTTCTCCCCTTGCAGAACTGAGCTGCTCCAAGAATGAGAAGGAGCTCGAGGAGCTGCTTCTGGAAGCCAGTCAGGAATCTGGGCAGGAGACACTGTGACACTTTAGGTGAGGCGGGGGCCAGGGCCAGAGGGCAGGGGTTCTGGGGACCGGCAGTAGAGCCCCTGGCTCTGACAGGCCCTCCCCCAATCTCTTCTCCCCAAGTTCCTTTTTTCCGGTCAGTCTTCGATGAGCTGAGGCCAGAGCCATGAGAATCTGCTCACCCTCACCCCCAGCCTTCCTGAGGCCTGGGCCACCAGGGGTGTGGGGGGCCTTTCTGGGGACCCCTGCCCCCCCCACAGCAACACTACACAGAGCGCAGGAGCCACAGGGACTGCCCTCCCCGCCCTGACTTAAGCACTATTTCTGTGTCCAGCACTCGAAGGCTCTGGGTTGGGGGGATGGGAGGAGGAGTTATCCGAGGACATCAGCCACGAGGCTGGACGCCTTTTCCAGACGGCCTGTTCAGCCAGGCTTGCCCTGTGGAGGGCAGCAGTCCTGGGTGGTGGTGGGATGGCCCCCCGGTACCCCCCGGGTGCAGGGCCAGGCAGGAGGCATGACGAAGGAGGGGCAGTGAGTGGTGCTGGAGGACATTGGTAGAGCAACCCCAGGCAGAGTGAGGGCCAGGGCTGGGGGGGGGGGGCGGGGGAGCAGAGGATCAGAGCTTTCTTTTTCTTAAGTGCAATAAATCTATCAGGGAGCTGGGGTGAGGAGCAACCAGGGTTCTCGAGACCCTGCTGTCCAGGCCCCTTGAGGCTGCGCCCTGAGAGGCTCTACAACCCGGGGGGCGGCATGGGTGTGGGGTACGGGTGGGCAGGGGGTGGGGGAGGGGCTACTCCTGTCGGTGCAACTCTGTTCACACCTTTTCTAATAAACCAGAGCTGGGTTCACCGCACTCGCCTGCTCTCTGCTTGTGCTGATTGGGGGCGCCCCCTGCGGGAGCTGTGGGCACAGGGAGTGGGGAGCGCAGGGCCCAGCCAGCCCCGCGGGAACATCTGTGGGGCTGGTGCCAGGGGTCCCCCAGAGGAAAGCAGGGAGGCCGGGGAGGCAAAAGCCACATTTCCCACAACACTCCCTGCCCCGGTGCCCTGCCCCCCACCCCCATTTTTTTTTGCCATGTCCGCGCTCCTGTATCTCCTTTACCATCCAGTTCACAGTCCTGTTTCTCCAGAGGAAAACAACCCCCAAAATATCTTCCAGCTTCAGGCCTAGGCTCCCAGGGTGTGATGGAGATGAACCACCCACGGCACAGGGGGAATAGGCCCCCGCTTTTGCCCCCGTGGCCTCAGGCGCTCCACGTTTCCGAGGGTGTGTGGCCCTGCAGATACATTTTCGGACTTCAAGCCTGGGAACCAGGAGAGTACATTTCTGGTGCTAAGCCACCCAGGTTGTGGGACTTGGTCCTAGCAGCCCCAGGGGACCCCCAGGCACCAACTGTGTGGTGCTCCGGATTTTCCAGCTGGATCCTGGATGAGTCCAGGATCGCAAGGGGGGGATCCCTTCGGCCAAGTATTTTCTCCCTGTTGCCTTCAGCTACCCAGACACTCCTGGAACTTGTTGTGAAGACACACCGAATCCCTTTTATTACTGGGCTAGACGCTGTACCCAGTCGTAAAGATCTCAGTGCCACAACATGGGAGATGTTATTTCCACGCTTGTGGATGGTTAGGTAGCGGGCAGCTGTTCTCCCCTAAGTGACGGGCGGGTCCAGGCCTCGCCCTTGTGGCTCTGCCACTCCCTAGGGCCTCAGGATCCCCTGTATCCGGTGGGCAGACGGGGAGGGGGGGTAGGGGGAACTGGACAAGGCAGACCTGCTTCTTCACTCGTGGGCATGATGGGAAGGGGATGCACATTGCTGGTGCTCCCTTCCTGTTGGCAAGAATCAGCCCCGTGGCCTCCCCGAGGTGCAAGTCGCCAGCAGGAAAGCTCCACGGACCCCACAGAGGGGACCGTGAGTGCTGGGGGACAGTGAGCCTTCCCGGCTACACCAGCCACTCCGGGACATCCCAACTCTAGCTCTGTCAGACTCAGACTTTGTCAGAGTCTAAGAGACACAGTGGCCACAGTTTGACCACCGCGTGGCTCCACTGAACAGGGACCTACAGCTCCTTCCCGGGGCCTGGGGTCCACAGGCCTGCTCCCAGCCTGTCAGCCGGTTAGTTCGCGCCTACTCCTGCTGCTAATGTGTGTCAGCCTGGACCGGAGGTGGTGAGAAATGGAAGCCTGAGCCAGGTCGGCTGAAGGGAGGCCAAAGGGAAGGGACATAACGGCCCCAGTCCCACACCTGCAGACACCGACCTAACTGTCACGGTCCCCGTGTGTCTCTGGGGAGCGTCATTCTTGGGCAGGCTCCCCGCTGCCGTTGGAGAACCTCCCCCAGCAGGTGCAGGTTTGTCCCACCGGCTTAGCCACGCAGCTAAGCTGGCCGCCCCAGCGGAAGTCACAGGCCGGCGCTCTGCCCTGTGTCCACGTGGAGGCCATCATTGGCCAGTGGAGGTGGGATGCTGTGCCCAGCCCTGGAGTAAGGAATGTGAGGTCAGTACCTCCACCAGGCCCCAGGGCCTGAGCGTGGGTGACTTCACAGAGCTCTTGGCTCCCTCTGGGTCTGTCCCCTCAGAAGTCACACCCCTGAGCTCTCGTCACGCAAAGTAGGTTAAGTGTTGGTCCCGTCTCCCAACTGGACTGGACCGGGCACACCACGGGCCCGAGTGTGTGGCTCCTTGACCAGTGAGAACTCCGAAGGTGCCCAGAGGGGTGACACCAGCATCCTAGGATGGTCCGTGTCACACGGGTGGGAGGGGAAAGTGGTTAAGACCCTCCGCCCCCTCGCCACTCTGTGGCCTGGCACAGGCTCCGGTTCTGTATGTCCCACGGGTACCTCATCTCTGCTCCTCAGCTCCCCAGTCCTCATCAAAGGGCTCATCGGGTGGGCAGTCACTTGTTCAGGGGAGGCCGCGCTGCCCGCCCCAGCTGGCTGGAGTGCCAGGGAGCCCTCATTCATTCATTCCACCAGGGCAGAGCCACCCCTTGAGTGGAGCAACCTGCTGAGGTCAACGGGACACCGCCCTCGGAAATGCCAGCTCCGTGCCTGTGCAGGGGCAGGTAGGGCGTGGGGATGAGGACCTGGATCCCCGGAGGCCTAGACGCTCTCCGTTGCCTGAGTCAACCCGCACATCCGTCCTCCCCTGCCTCAAGGGCCTCACCCACCACCCCCGCAACCCCTCCTGCCACCAGGGATGCCAGCAGTGAGGCTGCCAGCTGAGGCTGCCCGGCTCCCTGGGGGTGACGGGGCTTGGCAGGATAGGGCAGTCCTGGTTCGCAGTTCCTGCTGAGCCAGGGAGCCCAGGACGCGAAGACCAACGGGGGCTTTCACATCTCCATTTATTGCACTTGAACCCGGGGTTCTTCCCTGGTCACTGGCTCAGTAGCCTGCCACTGCCAACAGCTCTCTGGCTCACAGTTTCACCTGGGTGGGGGGTGGGGGGGCCCACCACAGTCCTCACTGCAGACCCGGACGGGGGGCCTTGGGCCCAGTCGCACCCTTCACCCCCTCGTCCGGGCAGACGGAGCAACGGTTCCCTCCCGCTGCTCCCGGAGTACTCTTTCAAGGCCCAACTGGGCTGTAAGGGTTCTCAGGCCACGAGTCGTGGCTTGCCCCCGTGCGCCCCGTCCCGGGGCTGGTGGGCTTTGCCCGCATGCGCCGGGGCGTGCCCGGCGCCCTGACCGGGCCCAAAGGCCCCGGCGGCATGGTTGGCTCCGTCGGCGGCGTGGGGGGCGTCGTGGGCTGGGGACTTGGGCGGGCTGGGCGGCTTGAGCGCGCTGACCGCCCGGATGAGGCCCATGCGGCGGCGGATGGAGTGGTCCAGGTTGACGGTGCAGCGCAGCAGGGTCTGCGCCTGGGCCACGGTGAAAGGGAAGTCGGCGCCCAGGAAGCGCTCGAAAAGCTCAGGGTCGCCGTCCAAGTCCAGCACGTTCTGCAACGCCTTGGTCATGGAGTGCAGCTCGCGGCTGTTGTCGCAGAACACGTCCCAGAGGCGCGCGCGGGCCTCGGGCGCGCCCCCCGCCTGCTGCCGGTCCTCCAGGCACTGCAGCACCCAGCTGAGGCGGCACGGCCACTGGTTGGCCAGCACGACCCAAGCGACGGCCTGGCGCGGCGTGGGGCCCGCGAAGTCCCCGTCCTGCTGCTGCAGAAGGCGCACGGTGATGGGCACGGTGTTGACGATGCGCCGCATGGACACCACGTTGTCGGGCACGTACTCGTAGAGGCAGTCGCGCTCGTCGTGCAAGCAGAAGAGTGCCTCCTGGATGCGGCGCGCCGCCTCGGCGTCTATGCGGCTCTGCGCGCCCTCGGCGCCCGCCTGCGTCTCCACCACCAGCAGCTGCGCGCCCTCGCCGCCGCCCCCGCCGCCGCCCCCGCGGCAACCGCCCGGCCGCGGCTTGCACGTCATCTCGCGGTAGAGCAGGTCGTCGCGGCTCTGCACGGCGTCGTGCAGGAACTGCAGCTTGGTGCGGCGGCCCATGATGGGCACGGAGAAGGGCAGCGTGACGGTGCGGTTGAGGAAGAGGTAGCCGTTGTCGGCCGTGCCCTTCATGGAGCCGGCGCTCTCGAGGCACGCGGCCAGGATGCTGGGGTCCACCACCAGGATGAAGATGAAGGGCGCGTGGCTGTCGGACAGCAGCGTGTTGATGGCGTTGAGCACGCCCACCACGTGCTCCGGGTAGCACGTGTCCAGCCCGGTGACCTCGAGCACGACGCGCAGCCGCCGCCGCTGGTAGATCTCCAGGAAGCACAGGAAGTCGGTGAGCAGCTCCACCTCCTTCTTCACCTCGCACATGAAGCCCAGCTGGCTGCCGAACTTCTCGCGTGACACCAGCCGCTCGATCTTCTTGCGCTGGCTCACGAACAGGTGCTTGCCCACCGAGTACACGGTCATGAGCAGCCCCGACCCCGACAGCGTGGTGGCCGCGCCGCCGAACCCGCGCAGCAGGCTGCCGCTGGCCGCGCCGTGGCCCTGCGCGTGGGCGCCCACCGACAGGTAGAGCAGGCCCACGCCGAGGCTGAGCGCCGCCAGCAGCGCCAGCAGTGCCAGGCACACGCGGCGCCGGCAGTGCCACTCGCGCTCGCACAAGCCCGGCGTCGCGGCCGGCTTGTTGCCCAGCACCGAGTACACGCTGAAGGGCAGCGCGCCATAGTGGTGGCGGATGCCCTCGCACAGCGTGGTCACCAGGCCGGCCCACAGCTTGTCCGTGCCCGCGTAGTGCCAGGCGCTGAAGCGGATGAAGAGGAACTGGACGTTCTTGCGGTGCAGGTGCAGCTCGGTGATGACAGGCTGCAGGAACACCAGGTACCACAGCAGCTGCGGGAAGCCCCAGCCGCGCACGGGCCGCGGCTGACACTGCACCCGCCGCAGCTCCTCGGCCTCGCGCTGCGCCGCCTCCTGCTGCATCAGAGCTGCGGGGAGGGAAGGGGCGGGGAGGGCGCACCGGACGGTGAGCGGCGGCGGGCCGGAGGCCCGGAGGCCCGGAGCGGCACGTGGAAGGGCAGGAGTATGAGGGCCAGGCCCAAGGCCAGCGGTGGGCAGAAGCAGCAGAGCTCCCAGGGGAGAGAGGACGGGAAGGGACGAGGAAGGAAAGAATGTGTGCCAGGTGCTGAGGAAGCGAAATGCTGGGCAGCGCAGTACAGCCTCTGTGTGATTTTCCTGGCTTAATGCCCCTCCTCCGGGTCTCAGCTCGGCTGTCTCCTCCTCCAGGAAGCCCTCCCTGATCTCCAGGCTGGGTCAGGTGCCTCCTGGGCTTCCGCACCCCAACCCTACCCACTGTTGGGTCATCGCTCTCTGGGGCCAGGTCCGTCTCCCTCTCTGGCCTGTGAGGGCACGAAGGGCAGGGCTCTGGTCGTCTTGGTCATCCTGTGTCCCCTGGGCACCAAGGAAGGGCTGGGGGAATGTCTGAAGGATTGATCATGAGAGGTTAGGGGCAGGGTCCATCTGCTCTTGAGGTCAGTGAATGAATGAGTGGCAATGTGCCAGAGTCACCTAGCACAGAGGAGGAGCTCCCGAATGCTGTTTCCTTTTTCCTTATAATCGCATGTTTTCTCCTCCCGGGACCCTGTTTATCACTCTGTGACAACACAGGGGGCAGATGCAGTCTTGTTTAGTAGGTGCTCACCAGGGCTGGGCTCACAGAGGTGAGCCGCCTCCAGCCCCTCTGGCCACCATCGGGGCTGGGGTCTGAGCAGGGCTAAAACCAGGTCCAAGCTGCTGTGGATCCTGGCCGCGTTTCAGCCCACGTGATCGGTTAACCTCTATCTGTTAGGGCTCTTGTGGGCGCCAGGCCCTGGGTCCGTGCTGAGAAGAGATGGGTCTGGGGGGCACAGGAGGGACTCTGCAGGAGCCAGTGAGGAACCTGAGCTTTCTCCCTAGAGTGCTGGGGAGCCACGGAAGGCTTTTTGAACAGGGGAAGGACGGGGCTAGCTCTGTATCTTTTTTTTTTTTTAAGATGTATTTATTCGAGAGAGAAATCAGGGGGAGGAGAAGAGGGAGAGAGAGAATCCCAAGCAGACTCCCAGCTGAGCGGGGAGCCCAATGCGGGGCTCCATCCCATGACCCCACAATCATGACCTGAGCTGAAATCAAGAGTCAGACGCTTAACCAACGGAGCCACCCAGGCGCCCCACCAGAGCTGTATCTTAAAAAGATTCCTTGGAGTGGATCTGGCAGGGGAGGGGATGAGACCGTTAGCCAAGAGGCCAGAGAGGGAATGAGCAGGGACCCGGGGACAGAGGCTGTGGGCGTCAGGAGGGACCTGGTTAATACTGACTTACAGGCATCCGGACTGGGGCCCAGCGGGCCTCAGGAGTGAGTGGGGCTTGGGGAAGCCTGCGGCTGGGCAGGGACCAGGGGACCGGGGACCAGGGGCTCTGTTCCCCTGACTCCCTCCCCAGCACACACAGAGCCTCACCAGTGATCTTGTCCAGCATCATGTGCAGGCGGCAGCCAAAGGGGGCATAGAAACCCACGGTCACAGGGACAGGCACGTGGCAGAGGGTCTTGGCCAGGCAGCTACAGTAGACATCATCTTCCGTCAGGATATCTGGGGGCCAGGGTTGGGGAAGGGGGGCGAAACTGAGTCAGTAAGGCTGGCCAAGCACCACCCTCCTCCCATCTGCCCTCCAGAGAGCCCGCCCTCAGCTCCTCCCTTCCTCGGCATCCCTCTGCCCCACTCCCTGAAGTGACTCAGGTCCAACCTGCAGATAGAGGTTTCTGGCACAGTAGGCACGCAACCCCCTTCTCCAGGGTCTGATGTGCCCCTCTGAGCATCCCAGGAGGAGCCGACCCCAGACCCACCAGGTCAAGGCTAGGAGGCTAGACTCCCCACCGAGCCCCTGCACAGAGGCCCAAAGGATTTGGGCTGACCAGGCCCACGGTCACCAGGCTCTGCCGCCAGCCCGTGGTTCCCCCGGAAAAATGCCGTGGGCCTGTCTTGGGACTCGAGGCCCTCAGATAGCTTAAGACACCTCTTGGCACGCTCTAGAAGTTTCTCGTGTCAGTTCCTGCCTGCTCTTCTAGCCTGGGTCCAGTGCGGAAGGGCTCCGACAATCCCAGGCTCCTCTCAGCTTCCTGTCCATCCCTCACCCTGATCTCTCTCCCTCTCCAGGACCCCATGCCCGCAGCCTCTCATCCTGCCCCGAGCCCAGGCAGACCGGCCTCTTGGGCTTGGCCGTGCCACCTTTTCTGCATGACCATCGAGAGCCTCAGTCCCTCCCTCTGAAGAGGGGTTACAGAGACACCAGGCAGCACGGATGCCAAAGGGTCAGGCCCGGGGCGAGCCCTCAGTCAATGCCATGGTCTGGAATGACGGCTTAGGGAGCAGATTCAAGTTCAAATCCTGGCACCATGCACCAGCATCACAGTGTCCACTCGGCTGAGGGCTCCTCCCCTGGCCCTCCCCCCACCACGGGCCCCCACCAAATGCTACTTCTTGGACTAGAGTTGGGGCACCAGAAAGGGAGGGTTTAGCTGTGGGCAGCCCTGGGCCAGCCTCCCCGTGCGTGGTGGGGATAATACACCCACCTTCCCCAGGGGCCTGGCCGGGGCGGGGGGGGCGCTGCAGGATCCCTCCCTCCTGGAGGGTCAGCCCCAGGCCTGGAGACACAGACAGCAGCAGGAGGACCCAGTAAGGTCAGCCACGGGGGTGGCCTAGGCGGCTTTGACCCTGCTCTGCCTGGAGCCAGGTGACCTCACCTCGCTGGGCCTCTGGTGGGACATGGGCGGCAGGGCCCCAGAGCCTGCAGGGATGAGGGACTGCCTGACCCGGAGCCCGAGTCCCTGCTCAGCGGTTGCTCTGCTTTCGCGGCAGACCCGGAAACCCGCCGTGTGTCCCCACGCCCCTGCCATTAGCACCTCTCACCCCAACTTCCGCGCCCCGCACTCCCACGCCAGCTCCTGTCCCTCGTGGCTCCCGCCTGCCCCAGGGCCCGAGCCCCAGCCCTCGGCACAGCCACAGGGGTCCCCGGGGTATGGCCCTCGTCACGGCCCCGGGAGCAGGCCCACCCTGCTGCCACTTACTGAGCTCAGATGTTGCCCTAACGGAGGCTCGCCTGATTGATGACCCTATTTGCAAACCCCGGTGCTCCCTTACCCCCTCTGCCTGCCTTGTTTTCCCCCAACGTGGTTATCACTGGGTGACACACTGAAGCTCGCCTTATCTGGCTTCCTGTACCCACCTGCCCCCCTGCCCATTGCCGAGAGCTCTGTGGGGGCAGCAGTCTCTGCCCTGCTCCCTGCAGCCTGCACCCCCTCCCCGAACAGAGCTGGGCACCCACTGTGCGTATCCAGTACCTAGTCACAGGATGGACGGATGAACAAACGAATGAGTGAAGGAGTGAAGGGACTCCCTCCCCTTGCCGCACTGTTCTCTCCAGCCCTTGGGCCACTCCCCTACCGCTGCCCCTCTCCCCCACACCAGAGCTGGCCAGCAAGCTGGTGCCTGTCACCCTCTTGCCCCAGGTTCTCTCTGGCCCCTGGGCTGGGGGTGCGGGGCTGGGAGGGCCGGGAAGAGAGAAAGCAGAGCCAGGCTGTCAGCAGAGGGAGAGAGCCAGGGCCCAGCCTGCCCCCCACGTCTGCCCCCCCCCCCCGCCCTCCACTAGCCAGGGACGAGGCACCAGGGACAGGCCTGGCCTGGCAGCTGTGGACAGGTGAAGCGAAAGGTGAAGCAGAGGCGGCTGCCTGGGAGGGGAAGGGCCCAGGGTCAGGGCCGAGCACCCTCCCATACAGGGAGCAGAGTGAACGAGGAGGGCAGGCCGAGGGGCCAGGGGCCCAGGGGGAGGAGGCAGCGGGGACAGAGCCCGCAGGAAGGCTGGGTGAGCACCGGAGCTGAAGGTGAAGGCGCCGCAGGCTGCTGGGGCAAACAGGGGGCGGGCGGCCCGGGCCGTGCTGGGCTCCAGGAGGGCGCTGGCTGCGGAGCGCGGGGCGGGGCGGCTGCTGGCCGTGGCAGGTGCGGCGGTGGGTGAGATGCTGGGCTTGGGGGGCGGCTGGGGGGCGCTGGCCAGCTGCCTGGGGGCAGCAGCGCTTGCAGGCGGCCCCTTCCGGGCCGCTGGAACGGAGCAGAGCCGCTGCCGCAGGGGGCTGGGAGGCGGTGGCTGGGGCTGCCGCTGCTGCTGCAAGATGGGGGCCTGGGGGCCCCGGCAGCAGCCGCTGACACCCCCCCGGTGGCTTTGGTAGGCCAGCTGCCAGCACACCTGTGGGGGCAGCCGACAGGGCCCGAGGGCTCGAAGGGCCGCTGGGTCATGGCACCACTGGTGACAGCATCCTGGAAGGAAGGAAGTGGGGGTGACTGGGCCTGGATCCCTGACCCCTGGGGGGGCACTGGCAGGAACCAGGTCGAGTCTTCAAGTGGAGGCCCAGGAGAAATCAGAAAAAATGCAGAGGGGATGTGGGGGGGGCAGTCTCTGTGCTCGCCTGTTGGGGGGCAGAGGAGAGGTGCAGAGGCCTGGGCTTAGCCAGGCGAGGGGCTGGAGTGGGGACAATGCCTTGGAGTCCCTGGGGACGGGGGGGTGTCCCTGGGGTTGGGGGGGCAGAAAGGAACCCATCAGGAACCGGCCTGGTTGGTCCAGAGGAGGCTGGAGTGATGGGAGGTGACCATGGAGAGGGGACAGGGTGGGGACTGAGAAGGGCGTGGGCCGCATACCCAGAATCGGGCAAGGCTGGGGGGAAGGGGGCTGCCCTGGGAGGCACAGGCCTCAAGAGGCTGAATTGGCCCGATGGGCGGTAACTGTCCCCACCCCCATCCCCCAGCAGGAACACCTGTGGTCACCACCCCCCTGGAAGCTGTCCCCCCACTCATACTGTCCCCCCGGTGGTGGGGGGAGCTTGTTCTCTCTCCACACTGCTCCCCCCAGGTTGGGGTGAAATCCTCACAGGCCTGGCGATTTGGGGTGGGGGAATTCTACCTGGGGGAAGGGGTAGGCGGGGTGGACCCCCCTGCTGACACCCCCATCCTGGGCTCCCACTCTCAGTCTCCCCGGGGCCTGTGTCCCCCACACCATGACCCCTTTATGTGGAAGCCTCTGTGAGGAGTGCTGGGAGCTCCTCTCCTCTGGGCCCTGATGTTCCCCTTATGCTCAACAACCATCCACTCAGCAGCCCCCCGACTCACAGACCACGCTCCCTGCCAGGACCCCCCAAACTGAACCCCTACCTTTTTGCTGCCCCAATTCTGGGTCCAGGAAGTAGCGCTCGGTGGGGGTCCGAAAGGGCAGGGCGCCCTTGGTGAAGCGGACGGTGTAGTGTTTGTGCATGGCGGCGGGGGGCCTGCTCCGGGGGAGGGCGAGGGTGGGCTCAGTGCCCGGCTCCCTTGGGTGCCAGCCAGAAGAGCCCACCCCTGGGATGTGACCTGGGACAGGTGGGAGACCCGGTCCCTGATGTTGGGGTGCCGCGTTACCAGCTGGGGTGGCAGTGCCCTTCAGAGTAAAAGTGAGTGGTCAGGACCGGGGAAGGACAGCTAGACAAGGGAGAACGGAGAATGGTTACTGGGGCGCTAAGGGCTAATTTGGGGTGCATGAGATTTCCAAAGTTGGTGACTGGGTGTTTGGGAGCCTCTGGGAGTTTCCAAGAGGCTAGGACGATGGGGGTGCTGAGCAGATGTGGGCTGGGGAAACACAGGAGCCCGGGGGGTGGCTGAGTAAACTTCGGGGACCACTAGGTATTGGGGGTGCGCACTGTGGGAGGCGCGGGCTGGCACCATGGGAAGCGTGGGCTGGCACCATGGGAAGGGACGCGTAACCAGCGCGGGGAGAGCTGGGAGCCCCGAGCCACCGCCGCCAAATGACTGAAACTTCAGGGCTGGTACATCTAGGGTCTGAACGAGGGCGGGAGCGGGGAGGGGAATTCTGGGGGCGCACATTCAATCAGGGTGGTCCAATTGGGGAAGAGGTTCAGCAAACTCAGGGCGAGACAGGGTGCACAGGCGTAAAATGCAAAGAGCCGAAAGCAGAAGTGAGGGAAGGATGCTGGGTGTGTGTGTGGGGGGGAGGCAGGCAAAGCCGAGGATTAGAGGAAAGGGGGTGAGTTGGGGCTCAGAGAGGGTTGGGGGCCCGGCGCCTGGCCCCTGCCCGCCCGCCCCTCGCCAGGGGTCCTCCGTACCTACCTGAGGGCAGCCCTTCGGCCCCAGCTCCCTGCCCTGCCGAGCTGCTGTGCCAGCCCCACTGGAGAGAGGCCCGGAGCCCAGCCGCCCGACCGGTTTGCCTGCCCTGTCCCCGCCCCTTCCCCCGGAGCATCCGCCCTGCCCGCTTGTCCCACTCTCGAGGACTGGGGGCTGCCCCCGGGCGTGGTACCCCGGGTAAGGGAGGGAGGTGGCAAGCCACCAAGCTGCCTGGGGCTCCACCTACCGGGGGTTCCTGGGGGGGAGGGGCGTCCACGGGACTGGGGGGTGGGAAGCTGGCGCAGGGATTAACAGCCCAGAGCTGAGAGAGGACAATCCCAGGTTCGGATGCCAGTTCCTCCAGGGCCCAGCTGTGTGACCTCAGGCAAGTGACTTCACCTCTCTGAGCCTCGGCTTCCTCATTGTTGAGTGGACCAGGGACAACCATCGTCCCGCAGTTGTCAGGAGGAGTCCGCTGAGCACAGAGCCAGGCACTCAGGAATGACCGCAGCTAATGTGTGCCGGGCACGGACTGACCCATTTACCAGGCTGCTCTAGATGCTTCTCATAGAAGGACGATAACATGCAAATGAAGGCTTACCAGGAACCGCACACGGTTTATGCACTTTTCCCACAGTTAGCTCCTCTTCCTCACCACAGCCCGTCAGGGCAGCTGTGACGCCCACGTTACAGATGAGGAAACTGAGACCCAGAGAGCTGAAGGTCCTTGCCCCAGGTCACGTGGAAGCAGAGCGGGGCTTCTGGAAGCAGGGGCTGGCAGGGGCTGCAGGCTTGCTGAGGCTCTGCCTCCTGCCTGCTGGATGCTTTGCACATTGTTCTCTGAGAGGTTCGAGAGCAGGGGCAGGGCTGAGCAAGAGGGGCTTTCAGTTGTGTGGGGCGGGGGGAGGCTCTGCTCTCCAAGCCCCCGTGTCCCTTCAGCTTCTGGCACGATGGGACAAACAGTCACTGCCCGGGGTAGATGGGTGATCTGGTGGCGATGTGGGAGCTACCACCAAACAGTGCCCGGGACAAAGGGGTTCAGGACGAGAAAAGGGACCCCATCTGGTTCAGCAGGACACCCCTCTAGGGGTTCTGCCTGGGTGACCAGACCCTGCCCCTGTAGCCAGAGCCAAGCATCCTTCCATCAGCCGGGGGCCAGTCCCGTCTCTCCTCCCCAGGTCTTCAAGCTGCTTTTCCTGGGGAGGCTTCCTCCCTTGTCCTCCACTAGTTGGGGACTCTGCCCACCCCCCCAGCCCTGGCAGCAGTCCAGACAACTGGGGGGCAGGACTAGTATGTCTGAGTGGGGGGTGAGTGTGGAGGGGAACCTCCAGGATGCGCTCAGGAGCTTCTTGAGGGCAGGATGGGGCTAACCGTCTGCGCCCCTGCCCACCTGCACACACAGTTTAGCTGAATAACCAGTTCATTCGGGGAAACGTCTGCTAGGCTCTGTACCGGGCAAAGGGATCCAGAGGGACCCAAGAAGTGCATTGGAATATAAGAAAACACCACAGGGCAGGAAGAAGCTGTCTAGGGGTCCTCCCGGGGCTGTGGGCACAGAGGGGGGCAGTGGCCAGCAGAAGCCGAGTGGCTGCTGGATGCCCCAGAGGGGGCGGGAGTCTGGGGAGTGGGCCGGGGCGGGGGTGGCGGGGGCGGCCCAGGCGGGGACTGGTGTGTGCAAAGGCCAGAATGAGGAGCGCAGCTTTCCGGGCTGGGAGTGGGCAGGCCAAGGCAGGGGCCAGATGGGCTGTCTTCACAGGACTCTGTATAGGTGGGGTTTTAAGCAAAGAGACCTGTCTTCTCCCCTTTGGGTCTCACCCCAGCCTCAGTTCACAGCTCTGAGGCGGGGGTCCCTACCCTCGGCAGGCGGCAGAGCCCGGGCAGAGCCTAGATGTGCGGTCCCCTCGGGTGCTATGAATGTAAAGGGGGGGGAGGTGGTGGCGGCGGGGGGAGGCAGGAGGGCAGGGAGGCCACACAGCCCAGGGGCCGGTCAGCTGGGCTGTTGTTCTGGGTGGGACTTCCATCTGCCGGCTCCCTCAGGTGTGTTTGCGGGGGTGGGGGGCGTGTGGAAATGAGGGAGTCTGGCCCGTTTCCCCCTCTCTGTCCATCCTTGGTCCTGGCAGCCCCAAGCCTGCCCCTGCCCATGCTCTGGGTGGCCCCAGTCCTACTCCCTAGGGAGAGGGCCATTCGGTGCGCCCCACCAGGGGAAGGACAGCCCCAGACTTGTTGAGGCCAGCAGGGCTGCCGGTGCCCGGGGCCACCATCCCCCACCAGGTGTGCAGGCAAGAGGTGGTAAAGCACTAGGGCTCAGGCCACGGGGCTGGGGATGCAAGGGGCCTGCAGGGGGAGGAAATGAGTGGTGGGGAGGCACGCAGGGGGCTCTACTCCCCCCACCCCTGCAGGACCTGTGACAGAGCCCCCCCCCTTCCACTTTTAAATCTGGCTGCACATACAGAACCTTTATTGGGCATCCGCCATGCAGAGACAGGAGTCTGATGCAGGGATCCTTCCACACTGGCCCCAACTTGGGCCACCTTGTTCCCAGGACACCCCGACCTCCCTGTGACACCCACTTGGGGAGGACACGTGATGCCCTAGAGCGGTTGGACCCCTGCACCCCCGCTCTTGTCCATCACCCAAAGAGCCTGGGGTCCCCAACACGAGCCCTCCGGTCACCCCCAAAAGCGGTGCTCCAAGGTCCCTGGGCCTGCGGTGGCCGTGAGGCTCAGCGGGGGGTGAGGGCCTGGGGCTCCTCAGGTTTTCTGAATCACCACCTGGAACTTACCTGGAAGAGAAGGGCAGGCTTTAGCTCGAAGGGCTGGGATCTGAGGGGCGAGGCAGAAAGCACCCGCAACAGCTCAGAGATGCGCCTCCCTGCCCTGCACCAGCAGACTGGGTGGCCTCGGGCTGGTCCGAGGGGGTGCTGCTCCCCGCCCACCTGGCCCACATCCCAGCGCCGCATGGGTGACTAGGAGCATGAAGGTCAAGCATGCAGGCTGCTAAGGAGGGGCCAGCACGGGCTTCTCTGGCATGTGTTACTCAGGTCCTGCCCACTTGGCCTCAGGTCCCCCCGCCATAAGTGGGCCTGGGGGACCGGCAGAGGGACAAACACTTGGGGGGGGTGGACAGCAGAGGGCAGGCTGGCCCCAGGGAGGCATGAAACTTCAGCTCGTCTGATGGAGGGCCCTGGGGGTCAGGAGGACACCCCATCAGGCAGGCTGCAATCCACAGGCCCTGGCTGCCCTTTGGGGACCCCCATCGAGCATCAAGCAGGCTGACTTCTATCATGTCCACCCGGAATAACATTCACAACCACTGGACCAGCGCATGGTCTGTCAGCAGTTCTCCGCTCCAGGCTGGCACAACCTAGGGAAGCAGGCTGGGGGTTGGGGGGCATCACAGGGCCAGGGGCGTGGATGGGCTGCCCCAGCCATGTGGTCTGGGCACGTGACTTAAGCTCTCGGGGCCTCAAATTCCCCATCTGTCAGTGGGGCTCAGCAGCCCGGCCCCACCTCCCGGAGCCGTGGGAGCAGGGACAGAGCTCTGGAGCCCCACCACACCTGAGGGATGGGGAGGGATGGGGAGGGCCCCCTCCCCCACGACTCACAGGTGGGCAGGGATGCCACGGAGGCGGTGACCAGGCTCTTGATGCCCAGGATGCACAGGGTGCCTCGCAGGAGGCCGCAGGTGAAGGCCAGGAACTGGGGACCGGGAAGGGGGGGTACACATCACCCAGGGAAGCAGGGAGGCCCACACCCAGGCCCGGGGCTCCACACATAGTGGGGGCAACTCCTCCCCTGGGTCCTGGGCCATGGGCCAGCCCCTCAGCTTGAGGGTAAGCCACCTTGGGGGTGGGGCTGAGGAAACGGGGAGGTCAAGTCCAAGCACCTTCCCTACCTTGGGTGCTTCCTCCAGATACTGCAGGCCTGAGGCCATCCGGATGAGAAGAGGGAAGCTATTGTCCTGCAGGACGTAGGTCCCCTGGGGACAGAGAAGAGCCCAGTAGGGGCTGGGGGGGGGACACCTGTGCATTTGTAGTGGGGGACGGAAGGCCAGGACCCAGCGCCCCCTGCCCCATTGGGCTGCGGTCTAGAAGGACCCGGGCCTCAGAACCCCTGTCGTCATGGGCCCCATCCTTCAGAGCTCCAGAAGGGCCCAGGGGCCTCCCAAGCTGGGCCAGGGATCCACCCATGGGGTGTACTGGTCCTAACCCCTCTAAGTGGCCTGGCTCCCGGAGTAAACAGCCGCACAGGCCCTTCCTCCCGGGGCTGTGGTGAGAAGCTGCAGGCCGGGCCGGGCACAGCGTGGGCACCTAGTGGGGACTCGGCTGTCACGCCAAGGAGAGGTGCTGCCGACCATGGGACAGCCTACTGCTCACCCTGGGGCCCCATCTTGGGAAACTTGTGGACATTCTGAAAATAGCTGTGACCACCCCCCGCCACGCCCTGCCCACTGCGGCCTCCTGGCTCCCCTCAGAGGATTGGGCGGAGGCCCAGAGAGGGGCCGTGTTGCCAGTCGGGAAACCTGGCTCTTGCCAATGAGCTTAGGGCCACCCCCCACTCCCCCGTCCCCAGCCCAGCGGTGGCCGCCCTCCCTCCCAAGGGGCTCTCCTGCCTCCTCTTGGCTTCGGTGTCCGTCTGGAGTCAGGAAGCTGGGCCCCAGGCGCGCGCAACACACCTGGTGATTGGTGCGGAGGCTGTCCATCTGTTTTTGGAACACGGCCACCCACAGGTCTCTGCACAGGAACTTGAGGATGTCCAACTCCTCTCTGAAGGCCAGTGTCTCCTGGGGCAGCCTGGGGGGCAGTGGCAGCCGCTTAGGTCCGCAAAATGCTGTGGGGCCGGGAGGGGCCGGGATGGGGAGCCCAGGGTAGGGAAGAGGGAGGAAGCCAGGCTGGGCTCCTCTCTAGAGCAACACAACCCCTGCAGGGACTTGACCTCAGCTCCTGCCTGCCTCCAGTCAGCCAGGGCAGGGGCAGGGGCAGGGCAGCAAGCACCGGCTCTCACCTCTCGCCCAGGGCCTGGCCCACACGGAAGCCCATGCCCTCCAGGACAGACAGGCTCATCTTCTGGCCCTAAAAGGTCAGGGAAGAGAGGCTCAGGGGCCCACAGCCACCTCCACCTGGGACAGTAGCCGCAGAGGGTACTCTAAGACCAATGTGCCCGTCCCTGCCCGCTCGGCGCTGAGGAGAGCCAGGAGGGAGCGCCTTCCAGGGCAGCTTCAGGCCTTCGGATGCCTTCAGGTGCCATCGCTCTTGAGACCGGCGCCCCCTTGCCTCGGAAAAATGGGGGTGTTCCCCAGGCTCGGCCTCAGCCTGCCTGTCAACTCCTTCCTGAGACCACCCGTTCACTTGTCGCAAGCGTTTCCAGCCCTGTGTGGGTAGGCAGCATGCTCATCACCCCAGGCAGGGGCTCCAGGTGACTGGCCGAAGGGCTCGTGTGGCAGTGGGCACGCGGCCACGGGGCCCACCCTCCTGGCCAGGCCGGCAGGAAGCTGTAACAATCAGCTGTGATCGTCATGCCTTAAAACATCAGCCAGGAACCCTGGGAGGGGCCCACGGGGGCTTGGGCCAGGAGATGCCCGCTCAGGGGCTCGGGGAAGGCAGGCCACGGCAGCGGGGGCAGAGGCACGGGGAGGGGGACAGCAGGCTGCACGTGGTGTCCGGGCACAGGGAGGCGGTGCTGATGGCAAGGCCCGAGGAGTCGGCCCGTATGTAATTCCTCGGAGGAGCCTGAAGAGAACGGAGCGAGGCAGGCATCAAACTACCAGGACAGCGTATGGGGTGAGGCGCCCTGCTCCTCCAGGAGAGGGGCCCCTCGGCTCACTCACGGCCCCCTGTCCCCACGCCCGGAGGCCTCCCTTCCCCCATGCCGCAGCCCGGATCAGGTGCTGGATCCCAGCCTGAACCATCCGTGGGGCGGGGCCCTGGGCTGACTCTTAGCAGCCAGCACTGGCCTCGGCACACGGGGGCCACACGGCCGCCAATCGAAGTGAGCAGTGGGGATCCGAGCATGCACCGTGCGCCGGGTGCTTTGTACGAACCTCCTGTTTAATTTTAACAACCCTGTAAGGCAGGTTGTATTTCACACCTGGGACCCGGGGCCTGGAGGAGCGAGGGGACAGGGGGGCCGGGTTGCAAACCCGGGCAGGGCTGGCTGCGAAGCCTTGACGACGGCTGGGGGAGTGGGGGGGCGGCGGTGGTCAGGATGACACCCCCAGCTGTCCCGGCCTTCAGTGGGGTGGCCAGGGCTGCGGCCCATCTTCGGGCCGGGGGGGGGTTCTGGGAGTAGGGAGGCCTGAGAAGAGGTCGCCCGTGTCCTCGAGCAAGGTGGCCCTCTTCTCTGCCAGGCCGCCCCGGCTCCTCGGCCCTTGCCCACCGTCCCACGCTCCTCCTGTGGCCAGCCGGACCTGGTGATGACACAGCTTCCTGCTGGCTGGCGCTGGCCAGCCCTCTGGTCCCTCTGTCAGCACGCGCCTCTGGTGTCCTCAGGCACAGCTGATGACTAAGGCATGCAGAGATGAGCTCAGGTGGGAGAGACAGTGAGGGGGACACGGGCCCCGAGCCCCGGCCTCCTCCCAGAGAAAGAGAGGACGGTGTTAGCCGTGCCACCTCCCTCCCTGTGTCCTTATGAGGATTAAACACGGGCCAAGTGCTCCCAGCCGGGCTCAGCAAGTGTTACTGTCCCTATCACTCACCACCTCTGCGTCCGTCAGCCTGGGTGACCAGCCCCCGGTGGAAGGAAAGCCCCATGAAGGAGGGGCTCTGGTCTGTGGGCCGACTTAGCTCAGCACCTAGAAGGCCGCCTGCCACACCCTCGGCTAGCCTTCTCTGACAGGTGGTAGGGTGACTGCGCTCCCGTCCCCTCCCTTCCAGAGGTGAGCACCTTAAAGAGGCAGGGCCAGCCTCCACGCTGACCGAGCACATCTGTGTCCCTGAGGCCTGCCCGGCACGTGGGGACTCTCTCTCTTTCATTCCATAGACATTTCCTGGTGGCCTCTAGGGCCTGGCCACTGTGCCCGGGGGGGGGCGGGGGCAGGGGGTGACAGGTGCCCAGGTGATGGATAACCCACATGCGAGGGGAGCCGGGTGGCTCCCCCCAGAGCAGGGGTCCCCAGGGTGCTTCTCAGAGGAGGAGGCTGAGAAGGGGAGGGAACTCCCAGCAGAGGCTGTACGCCAAGGCAAAGAGGGAGGAAGCGGGATTGGGGGGGTGCAGCTCCGGCCACGAGGGTCGGGGACAGCGGTGAGCGGTGGGGACGGGCACCCGTAGACCAGGCTGAGGGGGGCGCCGTGGGAGAGGGTGCGCCAGTCCCTGCCCCGACCATGCAGGAACTAATGGAGCCGTTAGTGGCTTCAGCCGAGGCGGGACATCGGGGACATGGCCAGGAGAAAAGCCACGCTCTGAGCGCTCCCCTGGGGCCAAGTGTGAAGGGAGAGGAGCGAAGCAGGAAAGGGAGTGGGGAGGCACCCCAAGCCCGGGTCACAGCCAGGACAGCGGCCCTGAGGGTGGACAGCCTGGGAGTCAGCAGGGTCCTCAGCCAGGCCAGGGAGCCCCCCCCGGGGGGGGGGGGAAACGCTCTGGAAAGGTCTCCCTTCAGTGAACTTCAGACTGCCTGGGTTCAAGGTCTGGCTCTGCTGCTTACTGACCTTGGGCAAGCTATCTCATAACCCCAGGCCTCAGTTTCCCCATGTGTGAAATGGGCCTGACGGCTGGCCCTACCTCACAGCGGTGGTGTGACCCGCGCTGGGCAACAGCTCCTCCCCAGCTGGCGGCACCGCCGGACTCAGCCCACGCTGGAGGCCAGTGACGTATGTGCGGAACTGGAAAGATCGGGGCGGTGGGGCACGGGAACAACAGACAAGGGAGGGGAGAGAGGCAGTGCAAGGGAGGGGCCGAGGATGAGCAGGTGACAGAGGAAGAGGGTGGAGGAGGAAGGGGAGCAGAAGCCTCCCGGCTCTATCACCGCCTGCCTCCCCTGGTCCCTACAAAAGCTCTTCATGGATTAGAAGTTTACCATTCTTACAAAAGCCTGGGCGGAACTCTCATCCTCCCGGCCCAGCCCAGAGCCAGAGCCAGAGCAGTTCTGGGCTCCTGGCACCCGCCCCCCACCTCCAATGAGTCTGCACAACAGCCCACTGAGAGGAAACAAGATCATGCAGGAACAGAGGGGAGCCCCTTCGAGAAAGCCCTCCTAGCATCCCAACAGCACGGGAGCTGGGAGGAAGGGGCAGCCAGAGGGGCAGCCCTGGGAAACGGAAGTATGGTAGCGAAAACAACAAAGGGAGCTGCCGGACAGACGCATCTGTAAGGGGGATGAAGCCTCCTCGGCTGTCAAGGAAAACCCTTGAGGTAGAAAAAACTGGCCAAGAAGTTTTAAGTCACGCGGAAGGGACCCAGACAGTCCAATGTTCATCCAAGAGCCAAGAAGACGCAATGGAACCATGTGGAAGAAGGATGGCAGACAGAGTAAGAGAAGAAGGTGCTCCCCTGCAGGAAGGTTCGAGTGTTTGGACGGAAAAGCGCCACCGAGCCCCAAGGAGGAGATGGGGAAACAAGCGATCCAATCGGAGCCTCCCCACCAGCCCGTGCATCCTGAGCCCTGCACTCGCAGAGAACGTCCTGGACTGAAGGCGGGGAGCGGGCAGGGGCCCCGTGCCAGGCTCCTTCCCATCTCTTCTGCTGCCCTGGCCCTCAGTGATCTGTGCAGGCCCTGCTGGGGGACCTGGGGGACAAGCTGCCCGGGCTCCTGCCTTAAGAGGAGCATAGGGAGAGGGCATGTCCTCGCTCCCCCAGGTGCATGGTTAAGAATGAGCATGCCTCCCACCCTGTGGCCCTGAACTCACCTCTCGCATCCACCCAGGTGGTCCCAGACACCCCCAGATCCCACCTTCTCCCCCCAAACACTCCCAGAGCGCCCCCCCCAGGCCTAATTCCTCCCACCCCAGGCTGAGGGCCTGCTAATTTGGGACTCGGGACTCAATCCCAGGACCCTGGGATCCTGGATCATGACCTGAGCTGAAGGCAGATGCTCAACCAACTGAGCCCCCCAGGCGCCCCAAACAACAGTTCTCCTGATATGGCCCTGAAAATGGGGCTTCCAGGTGGCAGGCACATGGGGGACCCACTGCAGACCTCACCCCTGGCTGCACCCGGGAAGCACTGGCGAGCTCCGGGGTAGGACCCCAGCACGGGAATCCCAGTGGCAGCTGGGCCCCGGGCACGTTCGTGTGCTTTGAAAGCCCATGGTGAGCAGAGCTGAGTAACCCAGCATTTCCCACACTTGCGTGACCACAGAAACCCATTAAAATCCTCCCAGAGAGTGCCAGGGAAGGGGCACTGAGAAATGCGGGCCAGGGCTTACAGTGCGCAGGCTCTGGAGGTGGGAGGCCTGGTTACATTCCTGACTCTGGCACTTGAGAGCAAGCGCTCCCGTCCATCAAAGCCTTGGTTTCTCAGGCTCCACAGCCTACAAATCGGGGAGGATTGTGCTGACCTCTGTGGGTCAGTAGGAGGATCAAATGAAATCGGGAGGGTGAAGCCCATGAGCGTGTGCAGGAAACGTTCATTTGTGGTAGGTGCTCTTAGTATTACAAATCCCAGGCCCCACCCCAGCCTTCCACAGCAGGGGAGCTGCGTCCCCTTCAACAAACCCACGCTGAGGACCTACTGTGCGCAGAGGACCTACTATGCGGCGATCAGCACAGACCTGGTCCTAGCCCACACGGCGCACAGCCTGGCGATGCGGGGGCGGTGAATGTGAATCAAAGGCTCACAAGGACCTATAATTCAGATACATACTTGGGTGTGATAGGGCTCTCAAAGACAAATGGGGAGGGGGCTGCAAGAACATCACAGTGACACCTGACTTGGATTGGCGCCCAGGGAAGGCTTCCCGGAGGAAGGGGCATTTGAGCCAAAGTCCGAAGGATTAATCGATGTGAACGCAATGAAGATACAAGTGAAATGAGCTGAGAGATGAGGGAGGAGGCTGGTACAGGGGCAGAGAGGGGCCTGGACTACAGGGCAGGGGTGGGGAGAAGTGGCAGGGCCTGGTTGGGGGCTGCTGGTGAGGGAGAAAAGGCTGATGTCGGGGATACGGGAGTTTCAAGCCAGGCTGGATGGGGTACCGAGACACTGCAAACCGCCCCAACACAGGCCAATGAGCACTCTCTATCCCACGCTTTATCGTTCTCATGGCATTTCCTTAACATTCTAGGCTTTATTCATTTATCTTAGTGCCCCCCTCCCCCACTCCAGGAGGGCCAGGAGTTTTGTTGGGTTCACTGAGGAATTCCCAGAGCCTACCACAGGGCCTGACACTTAGTAGGGTTGAGATGAGAAGCAACACCCTCCTTGGGGCTCCTAAACCATAAAACCTAAGCCAGTAAAAACATCTTGCATACTGACGATGACAATGATCATGCTAAGAATAATAATGGAAAAAAAGTTAATCACAGCACTCACTTCTCCAGCACCTTACTCTCTCCCCAACCCTTTCTTTTTAGTAACAGATTTTATAACAGGAGCTCCCATGTTCTGGGGGCGGATTAGGTGCTTGACATCACCCTAAGTGCTTTAAAGTTTGAGTCATTTATTCCTCAGAAGAACCAACTTCCAAAATGCCAAGCATGCTCCTACCTCAGGGCTTTGCACCTATTGTTCCTTAACTTCTTCTGGAATGCTCTCCATCCACCCCTACCCCCACTCCACCCCCACCCTGCCTTAACTTCCTACAGTCTGTGCCTTGGGAAGCCTTTCCTCCACCATCAATCACTCCATCCCTAGTTTTTTCATGACTCTATGGAATTTTTTTAAATATTTATCTGAGAGAGAGCGAGAGAACACAAGCAGGGGGAGCGGCAGAGGGGGATGCAGGCTCCCCGCTGAGCAGGGAGCCCGAAGTGGGAATTGATTCCGGGACCCTGGGATCATGACCTGAGCCAAAGGCAGACGCGTAATGGATTGAGCCACCCAAGGCGCTCCTCTATGGAAGTTTTCTTTATGGAACTTCTCACTAGGCAGTGGCGTATTTTTGTTTGTTTGCCTCCCCTATAAGTTTCGCAAGGACAGGGAAACAGTGCTTGGAATACAATAGGTGCCTAATTGTTTGTTGGATGAGTACATGTCCCTCTCTGATACTGAGGTGCTGTTATAATGCCCATTTTACTAAGGAGGAAACTGAGGCACACGGGATAGAGTCACTGGCTCTCACATCTAGTTAGTGGCGCAGGCGGGATTCAAGCCAGGAGTAAGTCCTTGGTACACGTCCAATAGTAGTAATTATGATAATTACTACCTGCTGACTCTGTGCTAGGCCTTGAGCTAAGCTTTAGCCGGAGCTGCCTCCCTCACTTTTAGGAGTAACCCGCGAGGCCGGCCCTGCTGCGATCCCCACTTTACAGAGGGAGCCAGCGCCCCGCGAGGCAGGGGCGGGGTCGGAGTTCGACCCGGGCCGTTAACACGCCCTCCGCACTGCCCAGGGCCTCGATCCGCCCTTCCCGCCGCGGCCCGCGCCTCCTAACCCCCAGGGCCCTGCGCTCACCCCAGGGCCAGGGTCGGAGTGGTGCGCCCCTAGCTCCGCCACCATCTCCGTGTGCAGAAACTCGAACAGCGCCGCGTCCGCCATGCGCCGGCCTCGCGCCCAACGGCAGTCCAGCGCTTCGCGCTCTCATTGGCCCGGCTGTGCAAGCCCCGCCTCCTGCACCAGGCGCGAGGCCGCCCACCCCCGCCTCCATTGGTGTTTCAGGCTGGCCCCGCCTACCGGGCTCACATGGTGCGCGCGTGAACCCGGGAGCCTTGGAGGGAGGGCTTCTTTTCATTGGCCACACGTGACAGCATCTCCGCCCTTCCCCCCCCTCGTCTCCAGTCTGTTTCCGGGTTGCGGAGCATTTTCATTGGCCGAATCACTGGTTACACGCGACAAACCTCGTATTTTAAAAATTTCCATTTGTCCACTCGCCAAGCAGCACAATCCGGAAGCGCCAGCCCAGCCGCCTTCCTATTGGTCGTACCTATACTCACGTGACTGTCCCCCCCTACACACAGCTGGTTTTGAGCGCTTGCTTTCCTGGTAGGTAGTCGAGCGGCCCACGTGTTCGGCCGCCGTGCCCGCCCAACGTGCTCCCGTATTGGTTGGGGCTGTCACCCTCCTCCCACGGTGAAGACGGCGCGCTTCGGCTGCGCAGCGGATCCTGCAAGGTCGAGGCTTCGGTAAACCAGGTACGGTGTTCGGTGATAGCGCTGCCCCGCGCCCCCACTCGTGTACCCTCCCCAGAGTCCAGCGGGGCAGTCACCCTGTCTGAGACCCTGGTCTGGAGCCCGTGTGTTTCCGGATCTGACAAAGGCTCCGAGGACGATGTGGCGGGTGTGGCCTCTGCTAGGAGGCAAAATCGCAGAGCTCGGGTGCGCAGAGCTCGGGCCCCAGAGCCTTCCTTCATCCCATCTGGTTCTGCGTTCCCCCGTCAGTGCACAAAGAGGGTGGGGTCCAGTGACTTCCTTTATCTCTGGCAGCAGGGATGATGAGCCCGTTTACAGAAGAGGAAACTGGGGCCCAGGCAGGGGACGCAGATGGCCCCAAATCGCTCAGCTAGTCCTTGGAGGGGTTGGGAATCCAGAACCTGCGCCTTTGAACCACCGCCAGGCGCCTCTCATGCCGTCCCTTCGCTCCTCTTCTCCCTAGTTCGGCGCCATGGCGTCCCAGGGTCGTCGGCGGAGGCCGCCGCGGAGGCCCGAGACAGTGGTGCCGGGGGAGGCGGCCGAGACGGACTCGGAGCTCTCTGCGTCCTCGTCGGAGGAGGAGCTGTACCTGGGCCCCTCGGGCCCGACGCGCGGCCGCCCCACGGGGCTGCGGGTGGCCGGGGAGGCCGCGGAAACCGACTCGGACTCGGAGCCGGAGCCGACCGCCGCGCCGGGGGACCTGCCTCCGCTGGTGGTGCAGCGGGACACGGCCGGGGAGGCCTGGGGCGCGGAGGAGACCCCGGCGCCGGCCCCCGCGCGCTCGCTGCTGCAGCTCCGGCTGGCCGAGAGCCAGGCGCGGCTGGACCACGACGTGGCGGCCGCGGTGAGCGGCGTGTACCGCCGCGCGGGCCGCGACGTGGCCGCCCTGGCCAGTAGGCTTGCGGCCGCCCAGGCGGCAGGGTTGGCGGCCGCCCACAGCGTGCGCCTGGCGCGGGGGGACCTCTGCGCGCTGGCCGAGCGCCTGGACATCGTGGCCGGCTGCCGCCTGCTGCCCGACATCCGCGGCGTGCCGGGGACCGAACCTGAGCAAGACCCGGGACCGCGGGCCTAGCGGGAACCCAGAACCCTGGCCTGGCTCTGCGCCCTGGGGGTAGTCCTTGAGGCCTCTGGGACCTGGTCCTGTTATCCTGTGTAGCTCCCCGCGCATCTTGCTCTCACCCTCAGGGCGAGCCTTGCCCGCTGGATAACGCTGCGTGGTGGGGGGTGGGGGGTGGGGGGTGGAGATGATAATATTGTGCAGCCTGGCCCTGCCTCTAGCGTCTGGTTCCTCGCTCTGGCCCTGCCCCTGTCCCTGCTTCCTGGTTCCCAGCCTGTCCCTGAGGCTTGGCTCCAGCCCCTAGTAACTAGTAGCTCCTTGATCTTTCTCCATTCTGGGGTCTCACGTTGCTTCTCCTTTCCTTGTGCTCTGCCTTTCTTGACTTTCGTTTCTGCTCATGGGCGCTGGTCTTGCTTCTTCCCATAGGAGCCCCAGAATCTGGCGCAGATTCCATAGCATCTTCCTTCACTACCTTGTCTCTGCCTAGCCCCCCTTCTGGAATTTTGTCCCCCTAGGCTGGGCCCTTTTTCTGCTCCTCAGGCTTGGCCCTGGTTCCATCTCCTAGTCCTTGTTCTGCTATCTCCTAGCTTCCAGTCCTTGGGCTTAGCTCCAACCCCTGGGCCCAATGTTGTTTCCTGAGTCCAGCTACCTTTAGGATTAGTTTTGCTTCTTTTGCCTTTCCCATTATGCTTATACTAGCTACTTGATCTTTAGCTTCATAGACGCCACCCGTCCCCCATGGTTTCCTTCATCAGGCAGAAGATGAGGCCCCCTCCTGACCCAAGGGAGTCCTCCCAATTTTCCAGGCCCAAGACTGCATCTGCTCCAGACCCTCCAGACCAAGTTGTTATGTTCTCCCCACCCTCCAAGCCAAGGTGGCATTTTGTGTCCAAGCTCTAGATACAATGTGGGTCTCCTTCTGATTCTCCAGGCTGACAGTGGCACTCTTCAGGCACTTAGGGTCTAATACAGTCTTGCCCGGGTACTTTGGGTACATTATGACTCCGATTTGCAGATAAAGACCACACACACGGTGTCTGTTCCCTAGGTTGGCCCCTGGAGGCTACAGGGATTTGGATTTCTGGCTCGGCTCAGGGTCTGGGGTTAGCAGACTCTCTGCCCTCTCCTCTGCCACCAGCCCTGGCCCCCAAGTCCCATTCACATTTTTCCACCTCCCCCACTTTGTAATCCCAACCTGAAGCTGAGATCTGAGCCCCCCACCCCAGGAGAGAGAAGTGAGGAAGAGTGCTCTGTGCCTGTCTCATTAAAACTCAAGAAACACTTGCTGCTATGGGGAATTTGTCTTGTCTCCCCACCTAAGCTGGGGGTGGGTCTGTTGATGATTTCTCTGAGAATGGGGCTCCCGAGAGATCTTTCATGCCCGGCCTATTGAAGGGGAAACTGTAGCTGGGAAATTGGGACCCCTAGGTTTTTTTTGCCCGGGTTCTTCATTTACTCACCTTTTGTTAGTTCAGCACACCGTTACCGAGCACCTGTTCTGCACCTGTCCTGTGCTGGGCATTGGGGGTACAGCAGCCAGCCCAGGCCCTCACAGAGCTTACAGCCCACTGCGGGAGACAGACACTAATAAAATATTCTCCTAAATAAATGGACAGTTTTCATAATTGCAATTTTATACTTCAGCTGTGATTTTTCTGGCACTATGTTGAGTGCCGGGAAGACACACGGGAATTTTGTGAGGGCAGAACCAAGATCTCTCTGACCTTGTCTGGGCAGATGGGGGGAGGTCACATGGCTTCACCGAGGAAGCAGTGCGTGCGTTTGAGCTGAGCCCTGACGCTGTAAACAAGTGAAACTGGATTGAGTGGAGAAGAGTTTCGGGGGTGGGCGGCAACAGCATATGCAAAGGCCCTGAGTCAGAAGGGAACATAACTATTTAACAGAAGAAGGCACAGTCTTCCATTGGAGAGAGCAGTAGGGCGGGGTGGGGGGGAGCTGGGGAGAAGGTGGGGTGAGTGGTGTAACCAGCAGAGGCCAGATGAAGCTGGGCTTTTAAACCAGGTGAGGATTCGGCCTCTATCAAACAGCCAGTAAGCAGAGAATGGTGCCACTGAATGTGTATTTCATAAAGGAGACTCTGGGACTGGTGCTTCTGTAGGGTGGCTGCCTCTGGAAAAATACCCAGAAATGCTGGTTTAAAAATAAACGAACTGGGGCACCTGGATGGCTCAGTCGGTTAAGCGCCTGCCTTCAGCTCAGGCCATGATCCCAGGGTGCTGGGATCAAGCTCCATATCAGGCTCCCTGCTTAGTGGAGAGCCTGCTTCTCCCTCTCCCTCTGCCCCTGCCCCTCCCTCTCCCTCTGCCCCTGCCCCTCTACTCGTGCTCATTCGCTCTCAAATAAATAAAATCTTTAAAAAATAAACAACCTTTAAATGTACAGTGGAGCTCAGAAGAGAGCATGGGAAATCTCCCCGGCCCAAATTGCAGAGGTAGCTTCAAACTGGGGGCCCTGATAATATTTGCCCAGAGACACAGGACTTTGGAATTTAACGGCTGCCAGGCCTTGGCTGTATGGAGAGAAGCAGAGGCCCCTGCATAAAACTCTTGGTCCCTCAGAGTGAAGCTACACCTCCAATGAGAGCGTGTGGTGGAAAAAGGCTGATTGACACCATGGAGGCACACCCAGGAAACTTGCCCATCTTGGCTTGGGTTCTGGGTTGAGGGAATGTTTCCTCGGGGACTTCACAACCCCCGGCTTGACTGGGGTTTGGATTTACCCTGTGGAACAGGCCAGGAAACCCCCAGCATAGAAATGAACTGAAGGTGAGCCCTGGTGGAAGCGGGGGGGACACATCCCCAAGTGACCTCGTGCCGAGTTAGAGCAAGGTCGGGTCACCCAAATTTAAGGACATGATCGAAAATTGCAAAGCACACCTGAGGATGATGTGATGAGCTAGTCTGGGCTGCTGGTTCCCTTCCCCAAATTTAACCTTGGAGAACCTGGAAGAAAGAAAGCATCCTGTCGTAGTGTTGACGTGTCTAGTCGGATAGCGGCCAGTTTGTGCGCTAAGCATGCAGACACCCAGCAAATGGGGGATAAGCCTAAGCCAGAGGTAAATCTATGGGATCCATTTGGAACGTCTCGAGGGGCAGTGTGGGCCCTGCAGGGTTACCCAGGTCTGCTGCTCTCCCCTGGAAATCTGGTGCAATTCACGAAAGGTGCACTGGGAAATGATTTGGTCAGAAATGTGGATGCCACAGCAGAACCGACTCTCCTGCAGCTCCTTGGCCATCCCTCGTCCTGGGATTTGCCACTGATAAGCGCAAGCCAGAAGGTCAAAAGAAAGGGGTCACGGGGCCCAGCGCGTAATCTGCCGGATAATTGCTTAGCACCCTTCGGTGTCCATTTGTCTTGTTCAAACTGCACGGCATTTGCCTGACCAGCTAATCACATCGATCAGGGACGAAGGCAGATTTATACACACGGTGGAGAGAGGAGAAGGGATCCCTTTCGGGCTGTGTATTTAGCTACCTTGTCGACTCTGTTCTTCCCTAAACATACAGGGTCAGCGTCCTCAGGCCGGGCTCCCCGGTGCACAGTAGCAGTTTTAGCAGGAAGAGGAATAGCCCGCACTGGGGCAGCGTTGCTATTCCCACTGGCAATAGGAGTCCCAGCAGAGGTTAGGAATCTGCAGGATTGGGGCACCTGGGTGGCTCAGTCGGTTAAGCGTCTGCCTTCGGCTCAGGTCATGATCCCGGGGTCCTGGGATCAAGCCCCGCATCGGGCTCCCTGCTCGGCAGGAAACCAGCTTCTCCCTCTCCCGCTGCTGCTCCCGCCCACCCCCACTCATGCGCACTCACTCTCTCTCAAAGAAGTGAAACCTTAAAAAAAAAGAAGAATCTGCGGGATTTCTAGATGTGTCAGCAGCACGGCAGACTCGAAAAGCACAGCCGGAATTGGTGTGGATGGTGGCAGTTTTCTCCTTTGGCGCTTAGGTATGCTTCCGGGGCTTCGTGCGGGAAAACTATGCAGGGCCCGGCTCTGGTTCCCTGCCAGTTTCATCTGCAGGAGCCGTCACAAAATAGAAGCAAGTCTGGGTTGTCTGCGGGGGGCTGACAGGTCCGCTGGTGGCCTGGAGACCCTGTGTACCATTGCAGTCGTGGGCGGAGCAGGGACCCCCAGCCGGGAGGATAGGAGAGCGCTGGGTGTCAGTGTCACAGCCCCGGAAGATGATGGAGGGTGGGTCACAGGTGGGCTGCCAGCCGAGTAGAGGGTGCCGTGTCCTATGAACTTGAAACAGGGCAGGTGCAGGCTTGGGAGTTAGGGTGGCCGCTCCCACTACTGCTGGCAGGCCCGGGCCGTGCCTGATGGACTGGGTCTAACCGACACGAGAAGTGGGCTCCAGGACGCACCCGGGAGGCAGAAGCTTGTCCTAGAGCGCCCGCCGCCCTCCCACTGTCCTCCCGGTAGCCGTCTGTCTCTGGGAGGCTAAGAGCCGGGGCTGAGCCGGGGCTGCGGGCGAGGCTCATTTTCAAGTTTCAAAGGCGGTCCCTGCCCCCAAGGGCCCAGAACTGGGCTGTGAGTAGCATCTGGGAGGAGAGCATATAAAGGTTGGGCAGGGGCAGCAAAAAGAGCCAGCCGTGGGCGGCAGTCTCCAGCTGCCCCTGGAGAGTCACAAAGCCGCTGTTTGGGTTTGGGGAGGGGATGGACAGGATTGGGGGTGAGTTTTCGAGCGTGCTGAGACGTCTCGGCGCCTGAGCAGGTGAGAGCGGTTTGTGCCCATTGAAGGTTAGGTCTGGAGGCGTCATGGCCTCGTTCAGCTAGTGCCTCAAGGAGGGCAGGGGAGTCCAAAGTCAGCGTGCCTAGTCCGATTTCAGAGCACGAGGTCATCCGTGTACGGAACGGGGGGCTCAGTCGGTTGAGCGTCTAGTTCTTAATTTCCACTCCGGCTATGATCTCAGGGTGGTGGGATCGAGCCCCGCATCCGGAGCTCAGCACGGAGTCTGCTTGTCCCTTTCCCTCTGCTCATCCACCGTCCCCTCTCTCCCTATCTCTAAAATAAGTAAAGTCTTTCGGGGCGCCTGGGTGGCTCCGTTGGTTGAGCGTCTGCCTTCGGCTCAGGTCATGATCCCAGGGTCCTGGGATCGAGCCCCGCATGGGGCTCCCTGCTCCGCGGGAAGCCTG